CTTCCAGGTCTGGTGGGAACTGAACCTGCAATGGCCTTGGGGTCCCTGCCTGGTCTGCACTCTGCAGGGAGCCAGGTGCCCACAGTCATAGGGGTTGTTCGGCCTTAGGGGGCCTGCCCAGGGCCCAACATCTTCCTCCAGGGGATGCAGAAAGATGATGGGACCACCTGGACCTCAAGGGTTTGGACATCAGACCCTCCTGAGCATCTGCTGTGTGCTGGGCAGCGAGCACCCAAAGACAGGAATGACAGCTCCTCATATTTAGTACAGAGCTCTGTGCTGGCACTTTTACCCTTCAACTTGGCACCTACCCCATGTAGTTCTCATGTGTCCTGAATGAAGAGAATGGGGTGCTGCAGACCAGAACTTGACATGCACCCCCTCCCCTGATTGCACACTTTTAGCGGATTGAGATGGATTAGAGTTCAGCGTGTCTGCCTAAGTGGATTTATGGATTATATGATCTAGTTTTAACCAAACTCATCCTCCAACATGGTCAAATGGCTTATAAAAGATTCCTGTAAAGAAACTGCAGGTAACACCAATAATCCGAGCAGGTGAACAACAGCAGATGTGGCAGTGCTGAGATTTCCTTATGACTCCTGCGGAGAGCTCACATCCCCAGAGGTGCAGATCTGACTAGAATTTAGCCTTAGTTATTATAAAAATAAGCAGAACAAAAATCCCTTTGAGGTAGCCCTGCCCTGTCTCACTGGGGAAGCTGCCCTGGGTGACTTGTCCCTTGAGGTATTAGTCAACAGCAGCATGAAATCTACCTGGCTAGCAAGCCCATGTACAAAACTAAGCTTTCACAAAAGAGAACCCCCTGCAATTTTTTCCCAGCGATGTTTAAAGTTATGTGCCGTTCAACCCAGTACATTTTGATGTTTCCCCAAGCGATGATAAATATTAAGACAAAAAACACTACCTACCACCAGGCAGACATTTACTCTTTCTGCTGCAGTACAAATGGCAGAAACAATGAACAGTGAATGATCTGTCGACAAACTGAAAGGCATTTCTCTGTCAGCAAACACTGTTGGAAGACGTAGAGAAACGGCACCGATGGGAAGAAACGCGTGTTAGAGCAAATTACCCAGTGTGGGAGGTTTGCTGTACAGTGGGCTGAAAGCACAGATGTTTCTAACACGTCTCAACTTAAGTTATTTGCTGGATTCTGTTCCAATAATGAAATACACAAACCATTTTTTGTATGTGTGAGCTATTAAGGAAAGATACAGCAGAGAAGATATATCGCCAACAGTTAAATGCCTTGTTTGATAAAAACAATGTCATATGGGGGAAACTGTGGAAATATGAAGCCACTGATGGGACAGCTACTCAGAAAGATTTTTTTTTTTTTTTTTGAGACAGAGTCTCACTATGTCACCCTGGGTAGAGTGCTGTGGCGTCACGCCTTACAGAAGTGATTCTCTTGCCTCAGTCTCCCATGTAGCTGGGACTATAGGTACCCCACCACAACACCCAGCTATTTCTTGGTTGTAGTTGTCATTGTTGTTTGGCGGGCCCAGGCTGGATTGGAATCTGCCAGCTCTGGTGTACATGGCTGGTGGCGTAGACACTGAGCTACAGGCACCGAGCCCAGAAAGGATTTTTTAATGAAAGGATTCTGGGTAAAGATTGGGTGCCCAGGTAGCATCACCTGCAAAACTCACTCATCAGTTCATGTATAGTCCAATCATTGCAGGAAAAAAGTAGAAACCCACACATAAAATGCGGCAGGGGGCATCAGTAGGGTTAATTTTATAAGACCAACATTGTTGTATTAGACTAGGAGCTTTATGATACTTGATAATGAGATTTGGTGTGACCTGAAAACTTCCCAACCACAAAGAGTGCATCCTCTTTATGGCAAAGTATGGGAAAGAGGCTCGGCGCCTGTAACACAGTGGTTATAGTACCAGCCACATACACCAAGGTTGGTGGGTTCTAACCTGGCCCAGGCCAGCTAAACAACAATGACACTACAACAACAACAAAAAAATAGCCAGGTGTGGGCAGTGCCTGTGGCTCAAAGGAGTAAGGTGCTGGCCCCATATGCCAGAGATGGCGGGTTCAAACCCAGCCCTGGCCAAAAAAATAAAATAAAATAAAATAAAAAATAGCCAGGTGTTGTGGCAGGTGCCTGTAGGCCTAGCTACATGGGAAGCTGAGGCAAGAAAATTGCTTAAGCCAAAGAGTTAGAGGTTGCTGTGAGCTGTGACACCATAGCACTCTACCAAGGGTGACATAGTGAGACTCTGTCTCAAAAAAGAAATAGAAAAAAGTACAGAAAGAATTGTCCTAAATTCTTGTTTTCTTCCTCCTAATTTTCCCTCCCTTCTTTTTCTTCTTCTTCTTCTTCTTTTTTTTTTCTTTTTTGAGCTGTGGCGTCACAGCTCACAGCAACCTCCAACTCTTGGGCTTAAGTGATATTCTTGCCTCAGCCTCCCAAGCAGCTGGGACTACAGGTGCCCACCACAATGCCCAGTTATTTTTTGTTGCAGTTGTCATTGTTGGTTAGCTGTCCCAGGCCAGATTTGAACCTGCCAACATTGGTGTATGTGGCTGGCAATATAACCAGTGTGCTATGGGTGCCAAGCCCCTCCTTTCTTCTTAAAGATTGATACGCTGTTATTTCTTGCGGTGACAAGAGCCATCAGTCATAGGCAGTGAGTAAAAACCTTGAAAGGGGCCTGGTGGCCTAACATTCTGGGAGGCTGAGGCTGGAGGATTGCTCCAGCTCAGGAGTTCGAGATCAGCCTGAGTAAGCGTGAGACCCCCATCTCTACTAGAAATAGAGAAAATAGCCAGGCACTGTGACAGGCACCTGCAGTACCAGCTACTTGGGAGGCTGAGCCAGGAGGATCATTGAGCCAGGTAGTTTAATGTTGCTGTAAGTTTGGCTGATGCCATGGCACTCTAACTGGGCAACAGAGTAAGACTCTGTCTCAAACAAAAACAAAAAGTTTGAAAAGAATAAATGTATTTTCTCTGCATCTGCCCGTTCAAGATAAAGATGTCCTTTTAAGGAAAAATGAGAAAGTAATATCTTAGAATGAAAATTCATGCTAAAAAAAGAGCATTCTTCTTCTTCTTCTTTTATTTTTTTGAGACAGTTTTACTTTGTGACCCTGGGTAGAGTGCTATGGCATCATCATAGCTCACAGCAGCCTCGAACTCTTGGGCTCAAGCCATCCTCTGGCCTCAGTTTTTCTATTTTTAGTAGAGACAGGGGCTTGTACTTGCTCAGGCTGGTCACAAACTCCTGAGCTCAAGTGACCCATCCACTTCAGCCTCCCAAAGTGCTAGGATTACAGGCATGAGCCACTGTAACTAGCCTGCTTTTTAAAATTCAGATATGATTTACATACCATAAAATTCATACTTCTATTTTATTTTTTAGAGACTGGGCCTCAATATGTTGCCCAGGCTGGAAACCAGTGGCTCTTATCACAGTGCACTGCAACCTGAAACTCCTGGGCTTACTTGAGCTTCCTGCCTCAGTCTCCCAGTAACTGGGAATCCAGGTGACACACCTCTGTACCTGGCAAAATTTACCCTTTTACAAGGCACACTTCAGGGATTTCTAGAATATTCACAAAGTATTTATATTCACACAGCAGGGCAACCATTGCTAATTCCAGAGTAATCTGTTTTTCAAACTTGTAGAGTTTTAAAATACAGAGATCTGGCTGGGCATACAGGGATCCAGCTGGGCCCAGTGACTCATGCCTGTGATCCTAGCACTCTGGAAGGCCAAGGTGGGTGGATTGCTTGAGCTCAGGAGTTTGAGACCAGCCTGAACAAGAGCAAGACCCCAGCTCTACTAGAAATAGAAAAACTAGCCGGGCATTGTGGCAGGTGCCTGTAGTCCCAGCTAATCTGGAGGCTGAGGCAAGAGGATTGCTCAAGCCAAAGAGTTTGAGGTTGCTGTGAGCTATGATGATGTCATGGCACTCTACCCAGGGTGACAGAGTGAGATTGTCTCAAAAAAAGAATAATAAAATGAAATAAAATAAGATACAGAGATCCTTGGGCTTTGAGCCCTTCACAAAAGAAACATGCAACAACTTCCCATTGGCTTATAAGACCAACTAACTGCAACAGGGAAGACAAAAATATTTTAGCTAGATTTTGACAAAAATCTTTGCATAATTAGTAGGTGAAATTTAAACATGAGGATGATAATTTAGTAAGCCTAGCTAACCACATCTTTCTTCCATTCAGCTCCCATATTTTTGTGACAGTCACTAAAGCCCAGAATTGAAATAAATTGTCCTGAGGCCCAGACCTTCAAATTGATGTTTTTCTGTTCAATCAAGACTTTAGTAAATAAGGAACCATACTCAATCACGTTACTATTTCTAGAGTGTAAAATGCTTTTTTGGTACCTTTGTAAATGTACAAATAAATTCATAAATACTACAAAATTTGCCAAAACAAACAGTTGATTTCAACTTTGTGTAATTATTTTGTTTTCTATGGGGCAGGTTGGACACTCACTGAATATAGCTGTACTGGGGTGGGTGCTCCAGAATGCTGTTGGGTGGAGATCAGAAATATATGGCGTCTACTTCTCCCTTCTGGGTTCCCAGCACCCACCTCAAAGACTAGACCTCTATCCCATCAGTAGCCAGAGTGCTAATTTCCCAGTGGGAGCCTGTCACGGCCCTCCTCCAAGACCTCTACTCACACAACACCCCCCATCTAGACTTCAAACCCACCCCCATCTCTCCCCACCCCTCCTTACCTCTCAGGCTTCAGCTTCTTCAGCCACCCACCCTCTGATCCCCCCCCCCACCCGCGCTGATTGCTGCCTCAGGGCCTTCCTACTGCTGCTCTGCACAGCTCAAGCCCCACTTTGTTCAGGTCTCTTGTTCAACTGTTCAACAGTCCCTCTGTAACCTCCTGGTGCGCACTATCCACCCCTGCACTTACACTCTGTGCCCATGCACACGTGATTTTGATTTCTAGAATGTATTACTGGCATTACATTGAAAAAGTTTGTTTTATTATTGCTTTGTCTCTCCCAGGAGAATGGAGGCCCCAGGAGGGCAGAGGGTCATCTTTGTACAGAAAGCTATGCCCAGTGCCCAGATGCCAGGGAGGGGCATAGCCTGCTCCACCCTACTCAGCTCCCACAGCTTCCAGGCCACCCCTTGGATCTCCCAGCCTAGAATGTAGAGGAGGGTGGAGGGAAGAGCACCCAAGTAGCTGAGTGACTCAGAGCAAGTCTCCTCCTCAGTACGGCTGAGCGCTTCCAGGGGTGTGGAGGTAGCCCAGTGAAGGGCAGGGGAGGACTGTGTCAAAGGCCCTTGGGGATCATGGCCACAGCAGCTGTCTTGGGGGGGGGTTGCAGGGTGGCAGGAAGCTAAGCTTCCCCAGGGGTGTGCATGTGTTCAAGTTCTCAGGTCCTCTCAGCGCAGCGAAGAATGACCCGTCGAGAAGCACACTGTGCCTGCTGGGGACTCGTCTGGGACAGTCCCTCCTGGTCCTCCAGATAGCAGAGACCAGGTGGTGTGATCCCCCTTGTTTCCTCCTCTCGAAATCCCCAGCCTCAGAGGTTGGGGTGAGGAGTCAGCAGCCCAGGAGGAGCATGGATGTCTTGGTCTACTCCCCAGGTCCTGCTCCCTGGAGGGATTGTGGAGGAGGAAGGGGAGCACAGCACAGTCTGAGGCTGGTTTATCTCTGAGAGGTGACTGTCAGGAGGTAGATCTGTGTGGGCACTCTAGGGTGGCATCACGGGGTGGGGGCTGGGGATAGAGGCCTCCAGGTGAGAGCATTCCTGGGCACGGAAGGGGTTCAGTCTTTGGGCTGGGGGATGGGTTCGGGGCGGGGTGGTCATGGTGCAAAGGCCGCCCCCAGCAGCAGCAAGGTCCCAGCCAACAGTGGCAGCGACAGTGGGCCTGCAGCCGGCCCGGGGTGCGCAGCGTTGGTGTGGCCGCCAGGGGGCGCCAGGTCACAGGCGGTGTAGGGCTCCAGGCAGGCGGCGAAGGCCATGACGTGCGCAACGAAGCTCTGCTCCTGCACGCCGTGCACTAGGTGCGCCTGCGGGCCGCGAGCGAACACCGCCACATCCTCGCCGCCGTGCGTCTCCGAGGACAAAGGCACCGCTGCCTGTTGCCGGTAGTTGGGGTTTCCTGGTGGGAGGAAGGTGGCGTTCAGGACAGGGCAGGCGTCCCCTCCCTCTAGCCCCATGCCGCCGACTGGGTGACGCGGCCACACTCACCACTCTCGCTCTCATTGACGTCTGGCCGGCCACTCGCATTGACAGTGAAGCCGGGTCCGTTGCCGTACAAGATGGACGTGTAGGCCTTGCTGTCCTGGGCCTTGCTGGGGGCAACGCCTGCAGAGACAGAGGTGAGCTCCTGTGTGCTAAGTGCTGGCACTTCGCGCTATCATTACTGCCGTTTGACAGGTGAGGAAACTGAGGCCCAGAGAGATTTCTGTCACATAAGTTTCGCAACTGCACTTGCCCCTCTTTCCAGGCCTACCGAAAATGGAGCTCCCGCGCAGAGTGTAACCACCAAAAGAGAAGACATGGGAGTGGTCGGCGGTGACCAGGATCAGTGTGTCCTGCTCACTGGTGAGCTGGACTGCCTTTTCGATGGCAGAGTCAAACATGACAGCCTCTGTCAGTGCGCGATAAGCCTTGCCATCATGATGACCATGATCAATGCGGCCCCCTGCAGGAAGGCCAGAGGGCTGAGGTGACACTTGGGCCCATTCTGAGTAGCCCTCTCCTTCTTTGCTCCACAAGGCCCCAAACACCTTCCACGAAGAGGTAGAAGCCGAGGGGGTTTCTGCTCAGTAGGCGCAGGGCTGCCTCCGTCATCTCCATCAGGGAGGGGTCCACTGTGGGGTCCCGTTGGGTCTCATATTTTGTGTCTCCAGGCTCAAAGAGTCCTGTGAGACAAGAGGTCTTGGGAGTGACTGATAGGCTGGGGAGTGGTGGGAGATCATGGAATACATGTCATGCACACAAGCTTGGAGGGCAGCAGGGCAGGAAAGGGTGTGATTACCCATAAGGTGGGTCACAGATGGGTCCCGGGATGCCTGAATGAGATCGGAGCTGTTCCACACATATTGGGCACCCTGGAAGAATAGAGCCAGACCTCAGCCATGTCCTTGATACCCACAACCCTGCCTGTTCTGTGTGGCCCCCACTCCCTAGGCCTCCATTACCTGGTGCTTCAACAGCCACTCCAGCACCAGGTTCTTCTCATCTAGCCGCACGCCATCCTGGCTGGCATCACTGGGGTACTCAGGGTCTGGGGTCCCCTTGGGAAACATGTACTTGCGGCCCCCTCCCAGGATCACCTGAGGCCAGAGGATTATGTTGGGGAGGTTTGGGGCCCTGCTGGCCCTGTTCCCTCCTTGGAGCCCCTGGGCCTCCTCCAGGGCTGTGGGCACAGCTTGTCCCGGGCTGCACCTTCTACAGCCCCCACCTCCACCCCCAGATGCTACCAGGCCAAGGCTTGGGCTGTTGGATGCCTGGGACTCAGGCCAGTGAGGGGCCCTCAGTTTTGCCCATCCCCAGCCTGTGGCCTTGGTGTCGCACATCAATGTCCATGTTGGAGATGAGCTGTGTAGCGATGTCCTGGCAGCCTTCCTGGAGTGCCGAGGTGGGCATGTTGGCGTCCGAGTACCAGTTGCGGTTCACAGTGTGTGCGTATGTGCCGGCTGGTGAGGCATGCTGCACCCTCGTTGTGGTCACCACTCCCACCGACTTCCCTGAGGGTAGCAGAGTTCTAGGTGGGTGATCAAGGTCTGGAGCCTGGCCCTGACCCCCAGGGGAGCCCCAGCCCACCTGCTTTCTTGGCCCGGTACATCACAGACATGACCTCGTTGCCATGTTTTGTTTTGCACTCGTTATAGCGGGCAGCTGCACTCACACCAATGGTCTGGTAGTTGGCCTTGACCCCACACAAGTAGGCCGTGGCTGTGCCTGCGCTGTCTGGAACTTGTCTGTCCACGTTATATGTCTGGGAACAGAAACACCCTCGGCTCTGCTCCAGGGCAGACACCCAGACCTATGGGCCCCTAACTGGGCCCCAGCTCTCCTGGGTTCTTCCCTCCTGCCTGCCCCCTGGTTGTAACCCCTCCCCTCTGGTGTGCAGGACTCTGAGGTGGCCAAGCCCTCACCTTGGACAGAGCCAGGTATGGGAAGTGGTCCATGGCCAAGGGCGTCTCAGGCCCCAGGTTTCCATTCATCTGCCCCTTTAGGATCCGAGTGGCTGTCACCGTGGGCACCCCCATCCCTGAAGTAGCAGAACCATGTCAGGCCTGGGCCACCGAGCTGGCCTGTATTCTCTGGGGGCCTCGGGTGCTGGGTTGTGAGGGCTGCCAGGGATAGACAGGCCTTGCACACTCACCATCACCCAGGAAGAGAATGAGGTTCTTGGCCGCTGTTTGGATGGGCCGCAGCTTCCTGGCGGCAGCCAGTGCTTCTTCTGCCTTGAGGTTCCAGAAGGCCGGGTTCTCCTCCTCAGCTGAAAGAGGGAGAAAGGAGGCCAGGTCAGCCTGAGGTGCCTGTGTGTGGGTGGCTGGGTGACCCAGGCTACCAGGGGGCGCCAGTGTGTTGAGGTGCGGGGGGGGGGGGTCATTACCTGGGATGACACCAAGGGACAGCTGCAGCCTCAGGCCCAGCAGCAGCAGCACCCAGGATGCCAGCATGTCTGTGGGGTGGCTGTGGGTAGGGTGTTGAGGCTGGGACACCAGGGCACCAGCTACAGCACAGGCGGCTGGGTTTAAGTCAGGGAGGACTTTGTCCCTGGCTGTAAAAGGTTCCAAGTCCCTCCCCTCTCCCCAGGAAGCCACCTTGATCCCACCCTGCCCTGTGACCTGAAGCTCAGCTGGCTGAATGAAAGTGACAGGGTGTGGCTGAGTGAGCCTGGGGCAGAGGTCTGGAGAAAGGCACAGGGTGGGCCTAGCTGTCCTGAAGGGTGGGGTGGGGTGGGGTATTGGGCAGATGCCTCTGGGTGAGGAGCCTTTGAATTCTGCTGTGGGGGGCACCCCACAGCCCTGCCCATGGTGTGTTGTGGGGGATCAGTCATTCCTTCGTTCACCTCACTGGTTTAGTATTTCCTGGGAGCCAGCTGAGGCTGAGCTCTGTTCTGCTGTTGAAGGGAGGTGAGGCTGAAAAGGCACAGCCTGGGCTAGGGCCTGGTTTGGCCCCCGATACCTCCCCAATACCACATGAGAGAGGAGGTGGCCTAGCTGCCTGGATGCCTGCTTGGCTTCTCACTAGGCTCGTCCTTGTCAGGTGGGGCCGGCAGAAACCTGGGCACAAGGTCGCAATGCTGTCAGAGAAGGGGGACTGGTGGTAATGACACTGAGGGGGACCTTGCCTATGTGTGTGTGATGATACACGGTGCTGTGGGGAAGGGGCCAGTGTTAGGGCCAGCCAGGCCTGGCCCTTTCAGGGAGCTGACAGGCTGCACATTTGAGGTTCAACCCTGACCCCTTGCAGAGGTAGATGGCGCCTGGGGGTGGGTCAGTCTTCCTCAGGCTGTGGGCGCACGGGCAGGTGTAGCCTCTGGTAAAGAGCTCAAAGTGTTCACTTGCCTCCCGTTGGGTTCAAAAGTTTTCCTACAAACAGGGCGCCGTAGTGGCGGGTGTCTATAATCCCAGCTACTCAGGAGTCTGAGGCAGGATTGCCTGAGCCTAGGTATTTAAGACCAGCCTGGGCAACACAGAGACACTCTTGTCTGAAAGATAAATGAGGCTGGGCGCCATGGCTTAAGCCTGTAATCCTAGCACTCTGGGAGGCCGAGGCAGGAGGATCCCTTCAACTTGGAAGTTTAAGACCAGCCTGAGACAAGACTGAGATTCTGTCTCTACTAAAAATAGAAAAAAATTAGTGGTGTGGTGGGCACCTGTAGTCCCAGCTACTTGGGAGGCTGGGGCAGAAGGATCACTTGAACCCAGGCCTTTGAGTTTGCTGCAAGCTATGATGATGCTACAGCACTCTAGCCTGGGTGACAGAGTGAGATAAAAATAAACAGAAGTATTCCTCAAGTCCAGCAATCCCACTTCTGAGTGTCTCTCCAAAGCAAGACAAGCATTATTCATAACAGCCACAAAGTGGAAGCAACTCAAGTGTCCCTGATGGAGGAATGGGTAAACAGAGTGGGGTACATATGTACCTATGATGGAATATCATGCAGCCTGAAAAAGAAGGCCATCCTGCCTACAGTGTGGGTGAACCTTTGGTTCCGTGAAATAAGCCAGTCACAGGACGCATGCTGCATGAATACACTTCTATAAGGTCCCCGGAGTAGCCCCCATTCATGGGCACGGAAGTAGAATGGCATCACCAGGGGATGGGGGAGAGGAATGAGTTAGGCTTGGGCTTTAGGATGGTTGTTTAGTGGGTGGAGAGTTTTAATTTGGCGAGATGAAAAAGTCCTGGAGACTGCTTCCACAGTAACGTGTATACTGAACACTGTTGAACTGTGCACTTTAAAATGGTGAAGATGGTGAATTTACCACTTTACATTTTGTACCAGTTTGAAAATCTGTCAAAGAAAAAAAACCCTTCCTTCCTACCCTGCCCACCCCAGAACAGCACAGCCATCCTTTTTCACTCAGGCCTCTCATCCCTGAGACTCAGGGTGCCCTCCCCTGCTGCCCAGCATCAGCCTGCCCTGCTACAGTCCACACCATGCCCACATGCCTCGCTCAGACAGAGATCTCCCCGGCCTTCCTACCTAGAGCCCTGCCTTGCTTCCCACTGGTCATCTGTAGGTCTCAGGGAAAATGATGTGCCCTCTGGGAGAGCCTTCCCTGCCTGCTGTTAGTTGACCTCATAGTTCCCTCCAACTCCTTCTTCATCTTGCTACGTTAGGAAAATTTCTGGCTAAAGGTCAGGGGAGGCTTGCTAATGGGCTGGTCCTTAATTAATTAATCGATTCATTCCAAAGTCACTGTCAGATGGAAAGCCTTTGCAGCCATGCCTTCTTCCTTTTTAAGTTAGAATTGTTGACATAACCACAGATTCACGTGTAGCTGTGAGGATAGTCCAGAGATGCTGTGCACAGCACTTTGCCCACTTTCCTGCAATGGTAAACTTCACAGATATCCCCATTGTTGTGTGTGTGTATGATTCTATACCATTTTATCACTAAAAAGTTTGTATAAAACACCTATGGAATGTCCCAACCCCACAAGGTCCCTCCATCCCCATGCCACCTCCCTCCCTAGCCTCTGCCCTATCTCTAACCTCCACAACCACATATCCGCCCTGCATTTCTGAAATTCTGGTCATTTCAAATAAGTTTATATAAATGGAGTCACACAATCTGTGATCTTTTGGGAACCGCTTTTGTTCAGTGAAGGTAATTTCCTGGAGATTCACACAGTGCAGAGGAATCGTTGGCGTCTCTGTTCAACCGTTCAGCTGCCGAAGGATATCTGGGCCGACTGCAGCTCTGGCTGTGATGAATAAAGCTGCTGTGGGCCGTCACGGACAGGTGCTTTTGGTGAACATATGCTTCTCATTCCTTGGGAATTAGTGTGCTGGATGGTGACTGCATGTGCAGGTTTTGAAGACACCGTCCGTCACGCTGTCTTGCAGAGTGACTGCACCATCTCATGTCCAACGGCAATTAGGAATTTTTCTGCCTTCTTGCCAGCATTCGGTGATGCTGCTGTTCTTTATTTTGGCCATTATGATAGGGTGTAGGGTGAAGCCCCTTTAATGCTATGACATTAGGATGACATGAGGTGATCATCAGCTCCTGTTCACCTTAGTTTCTTGTGAATTCTTTCATATGCCTGAGCAGGACTGGAGATAAGACACAGGTCACATGTTACTTACAGTAAAGAAGATGTTTGTCCTCATCTAAATTCCATGGAGACAACCTGGCCTTGTAGGGCCTCTTGGCCACCCTGTTTCCTAGCTTCAGGCCTGAGTCACCTGATTGTGTTGATATCTGGTTACAGTCAGTCCTTCCTCCGAAGCCCAGGGATCACAAGGCAGTAAGCTTGTGTGCTCCTTGTGGGGTGGAGTCAGAGATAAAGCCTCCACACCTTCCATTCTTTGGTTGTTATTACCCAGGGCAAGGGGAGGGTGCCCAGGCCCAGGGAGCGTACTCTGTGGGGGTTGGCTGTCTTGGTTGTCTGTTCACCGGGAAAGAAGGGCTGGTCCTGTTGAGAGGGGGCATCTAGATCCCCCTCACCCTCCACTGCCATCGCCTTTCACCACTTGACTCCCTTGCAGACGCCACACTCAGTGTAGTCTGGGCTATGTCCCAGCTCCCAGCCAACCTTGGCAGTGCCATAGGCAGCACTGAGTCCACGCCATCACCGGCTGCTGCCAACCACAGAGGTAGGGCTTGGGCTGCATCCTGCCCTCCACATCTCCTTAGGACACCCTACTGGGAAATGTGGTGCAGCTCTTTTACTCAGGGGAGAGCATGGCAGGGGCTGGGAATGGGGAGCACGTTGAGGAAACGGAGGCATCCCTTCCCATGGACAGGCGCTCCCGGGTACTGTCATGCTCTGTTCTCCTGGGCACCTCCCACCAGCTCTGTGGAAATGGCGCGAATATCGCCACTGGGGCTGGGTTCTGGAAGCAAACACAGGCTTACTTTGCCCTCCCTTCCCTGGAGGCTGCACTGGACAGACCTGCGGGACTGTAGGCGCAGAGAGAGTCTCCTGAAGGAGATGGAAGGCAGGTAGGCAGGCACTGGGGAGTAATGGGGGTCAGGGGATGTTTTGATGTCTTCTCAAGGGTGGCAGTGGCTGACCCTCCCAGCACTTGTGATGTTGCAGCTCCCCTCTCTGGCTAGGCCTGTCCATCCACTCCAGGGCTGGGGGAAGTGGCTGTGCTGTCATTTCCTCCACCCCAGAAGCCAGCACCCAGAGCCAGCATTGCTCACAGAGCAGGTACCTTGTGGTTCAGGCAATAGATGGCCCTAGGCAGAGCACTGAGTGGAGAGCAGCGGGAGCTCAGGCACCTGGGGCAACAGGCTCATGGAGGTTCCTCTGGGTCACAGCAAGGGTGCTGGCAGTACAGGACAGAGATAGTGCCCCTTGCCTCTCTTTGCAACTACAATGTGTGTCATCTGTCCATCATCATTGCTGCTGTTGCTGGCGATTGCCGGCTCTGCACTGCCTGGGGCAGAAGGACATGGTCACAGAAGCAGCCAGGGAAAGGCCACCCAGGTCCTAGGAGTTGTTGGAAGGAACTAGGGACGGCAGGGATGTTGAGGGCACCTGAACACAGAGGGCCACTAGGTGGAGCTAAGTGCATCGAGGACACACATCAGGGTGCAGCTGGGGGACTCAGGGATTGCACTGTTCCAAGTCCCTCACTCTTGGGCTGGGAATCTCGATCTGTATAAGGGTGAGGGCACCTTGATGTCTGGGGTCACAGAGAGGTTGCAAGGCATGAAGGCAGGCCCTGGAACACAAGGGGTTACTAGTAACTAGACTAGAGGAAGCTCATGACATTAGCCTTGGACACTGAGGTCCAGGAAGAGACCAGAGGCCCAGAGGCTGGTGGAAGCTGCTCCATGGTGGAGCCTGACCTAGGCGAACCAGGAGGAGTAGCCTCAGTGAGGCCTCAGGGCAGAATCCCAAAGGTACAAAGGGAACAATTTCATTCAATTAAAATCTCTGATCACATGTAGATCATGCTGGGGGCCAAGCTGGAAGGGGGTGAGATGTGAACACCAGTCTCCACTCAGACATTGTCAAGCGCCCCAGGTTTGGAGCTGAGGAGGTTAGGAATAAAGAACCCCCCAGGTTCTTTAC